GAGTCAAGAAAATTTACCAACCAGGAAGATCTAAAACCAGAGAGTAAAGGTCAGGATCTTTGGTGAAGTTCCCAGCGGCGGATTCTGTTAGAGACTCAATACGTTAGTGAGAACTTTGCAAGAAGGGTTGTTACAGAACTCACCTATCCTTTCCTATGTAAAAGTACACAAGTTTTGTAAAGAATACTAGCTCCTGCCAATCAACGAAAAGATGGTAGAACACGAATATCGCCCTTGTAAATCACTCCTGGATTAGTGAGCCAGTCAGGGAACAGATGACAGTGGATTGAGCTGGACCTCATTAGGCTGATTCTGACTTCATGACCATCCTGTGGATTGTCTCATGCCAGGAACTCTAAAACATGCTGTCCCCACCACTCTTTTGCCACCAAGGTCCACCAACCAGACCTTGCTGACAAATGCCCTGGCTGGGCCCCTTCTGACCACACCTGGAGGACTCTCCCCAAATCCTACTCCGTCACGGCGCTCTTCCACCTGCCACTGGCCAGGGAGGCATTTCCTCCAAGGCTGACACTCTGTGTGCCCAGCTCTGGGAATGACATGTCTCCCTCAAGTGAAGAAAAGGATCTGTGTTCAGAACCTGTGGGCTGCAGCCATTAGGACAAGGCCTGGGGTTTGCTGCCAGACAGAAGAGAACCTGTGGTGGGTGTGGGTCCCAGGGTTCAAAAAGCCCCCGTGATTCCTGGATAGAATCCCAGAGGACGATGCAGGACGGAGGAGGGATGCTTGGGTGTGATTGTCCTTGGGAATGTCCATAGGGAGGCGGATCTGCCATTGGTAATGCCTTCAGCAGTGTTGTTCATTCATCGATTCATCCTGTCTCAGGGAGTGCTGTCTACATCCTTCCAGCCCCTAGTCTCCCGTCTGGAGCAAACAGACAGCGTCAGAAGAACATTTATATTTCATTTGTAATGTATGCGTACAGGGCATGCAATGTGCTGGATGTTGCAAGTGTTTTGAAACATTAACTCCTTTAGCACTCTCCATATCCTCACAAATTAGGTACGCTTATCCTTCTTGCCAAGAAGAGATGAAGAAACTGAGGCACCAATGAGGTGAGTACTTTGCCCTCTACCAATATCTAGGAAGTGATTGAGGTGGAATTTGAACCTAAGTAGTGGCTCCATATTCTCTGCTCTTAACCATGTTCTTTGCTCCCTATGACTTCACACCATGAAGACGTTGGCTCAGTGTATCCATTTTCTTGTTACACCCGGTAGCCCCACTCTTTGATCACTGTCTGAAAAAGATGCTATTCGCATCAAAACTGTTGCACATACACAACCAAAATGACTTCTCCCCATATCCCATGTCCTGGAAAATACATAGAGAACATTTCAAAACATTTC